AAAATATTCTGCATATCCTGTTCATTTTCGGGCAGGTCGCGGCTAAATGTACATCAACAGACATGCAGAAATATTTTAAAAGTTATTCTTCTGTGATAGACACTCATCTAATATGCTACTGCATGTCTTCTATGGTCGTCCCTGTCTTGTACTCCTGCTTTTATACATCCATATTCGCCATTTGTTGTATGAAGTAATACCAGGAGCTTATGAGCCACCGAACGCAGCAGAGGACATCTAACTCTGCGCTATAGCCGCAGACCGGCATTTGAATCTAACGCTAACAAGACTTTCTTTTTATGGAACTGCTTATTGTGGGAAATGTGGTCCAAGCATTGCATGAGTGTACGACTACGTATGTGCACACACTTCGACCACACTGAAATTCCCCACTTGAGGGCAGCTCTCATTTAGGAAAGTGTCTGTAGCGCTGCGATTCAAATGCCATTTCTGTGCAGTGGACGCAACTTCCGCCTTAGCGGCGGCTCATAAGCTCTGTGAGACATGTATGCGATTATCTCATTACCCTCGGCGCGCGCATGCGCAGCGAGGTTACAGTAGTCTGTCTGTCTGTCCATCTGTTACATGATTTCTGCCACACACGCAAACAAACAGGAAAAGAGAGCACACAGCGCGGGCGGGTTCAGCGCTGCACTGCGTTTATTTTCATAGGCGATTTTCATAAAAGTGCTGCGTCAGAAGTATGGCGTGAAAACCAGTGAAACAAGCCAGCACTGCTTGCTCTGTGTACCTGGAGGCACAACGAAGGCGTGGGTATCGACTCCCGCATGCTAATAGCTAGCCCGTGTCAGACTCTCCACGCTGGAGATCACGAGTAACGCATACTATCAGGCCGGCGCCATCAATTAGCGGTACCGTGCATGCGAAGTTCGGCGAGGTTTGCACTTTAGTGCTGTTCATTTTTCCAGCTTTTCCTGCAAGACATTTTTCCTTGCAGACAATGTCCATCAGAAGATTTTTACAACATGCTTGGTCTGACACTATTTTAGTGGTCAAGATTCTCTTCCACACGCGAGTATGCAAGGATGACCAACACAACAATAGAAGTTGTCGTGGTCACTAGCGCTTGCCGCGATGAAGTGATGTAGCTGCTGTCTTATACACTGTGTTCAGTTATCCTCTGGTGCAATACAACAATGCTTTAGATAACGGAAACCTTTTTAATCCAGAGGTACGTATGAGAGCAAAGCATGTCCCAAATGTATATTAATTGTTAGGGAGTGAAGCATCCTAGCACTCTACCTGAGCCTATGTATTTATATACCCAATCATCTGATTTTGTACCCTGTAGTCACCATGGAGAAGTAAACGTTTTTCGCTCTGTCTATATCCGTTTAAAGCCACTTGCACTGTCTGTCATTTCCATTTTCACACTGCAGGCCCAATGGCAATGCACATATTATGTGATGCAGCGTCAGTTTGATGCATTTTCCGGCGGCCTATCTTCCTATGACACCTCAGTACTATTCTCATACCGAAATAACTAACATTCACACCATATATAGTTGGAGAGGGACACATGAGCTTTGTATAAGCTTGATGATATTGTTTTATTCGTTTATTCAGGATCCTTTTCAAAGACATTTGAAATATGATAACCTCCAACCTTTCCTCGCGTATCGGATTTCCTTAGTAATGCACAATATATACACTGTGGCTGAACCTCGGAATTTATTATTTATACCGGAATAAGAACAGACGAAGGAGGTTGGTGTTTGTTTCCTTTTAGTTGCTCAATATTATAAACAATATTTCTTTCAGTGCCTGATCCAGTGCCCACCCCTAGTGCTGTGGGGTCTGGGGTAACATGTATTGATGTGTTTTGGAGTGGTCCAGACAATCTTCGTGGATCAATTGACAATAAAGCTTACTTCCTTACTTATAGAGGAGGCTCATTTGATGTATCTGTAGATGTTGGAACTAATATGTCTTTATCATTGAATGATCTTACTCCTGACGTGGAATACATGATTGAGGTACTTGTAGTTGATAAATGTCGAAGTGAGATATTTGTGGTTTTCGCAACAGGTGAAGGTATCCAATGGAGTTTTAAACAGCAGTATTATAGCAGTGGATGCCTCGTCATGGCCAAGAGCTCCTTCCCCAGAATATGTGCAGCGTACCAACACATCAATGACTCTTACACTTGAATTGGAAGATGTACATGTCAACATATCTTCAGTTTTCATTCAGGTATAATATGCATGCATAGGAACTTAAGGAATATATGCCCCAACTTAGCAGTGTTATTCCTGTTGTGAATGCACGGATGTGTCAACGACGAGGTAACGAGGTAGAGAGGCAAGGCAAAGAAAACAAGTCAGCTAAACCCAGGAAAGTTCTTTCTTTGCAAGGAAAAAAGAAGAGCTCCCCTGGGTGGGATTCGAACCCACGTAAACCATGTAAGTCATGTGTGGGTCAATACCACACCGCTAGCTTGTTCCTCACTAGCTGCTGCGATTCTAACACGAACAAGCTTATGTACTTAAGAATTGAACTTTGGATATTGCAGGTTATTCGATGTATGTACATTGTAGCATGTAGGTCAAGTATAGCAACATAGTTGGCTTTTACAACTGCATGGCTATAATTCTCTTTGGTATTTTTCAAGCCTTGTTTTCACATTGAACCATGCATTTTTGTATAATTATATGACAGAAAACAAGTGCGATACAACACCAGCAGATTCTTAGCAATCATACGGTATGCACCGGATAAAAAATTGGGCATGGCCCCTGTAAAGAAACTGACAGAAGTTGTTACTGGGTATTGTGAAAGAGTTTAGTGAGAACCTCTCTAAGAAGGCAACCTCTCTAGAGGGACTAAAAGACTCTGCCAATGTGTCCCTTCTTTTACTGAATTGCTACATTAATGTTGGAAGAGCACACTAGAATACTGCCTTCTTCTGGCATCAGCCGTTACTGTAGTACGTAGGTAGTATGAACATCCTTTGTAGCTGCTCTACCGTATGTACCGTATACAAACCCAAGATCATGCATAAAAACACATTCATACGTACCTCATTCTAGGTTCCAGAGAGTCCGAAAGTAGCCAAGCATTATTCAGGGGAATTTGCAGTAGTAGAGTAATGTTTCATATTTCCAAAGAAGTTTGAATATACCTGGTTTCACATCTGTGCACCTTATCACCTTTTCTGTAATATACAGGCAATCACGGCTGAGGGTGATAGCGTAAATCGCTTTGCCTGCCAATTACTCTTGAACATACTAAAAGCAAAATGAGCCTTTCCAAACGAGGCCTTTTACTCAAAGAACTGGCAGGAAAAGCACCAAAAAGCCATGTGACCAGGCATTAAGAACACACTTTGTTGACATGTATATAGTGCAATCGGATGATGCAATAATGCTGCAGGTAGTGCACTACACAACATTGAGCGTATGTATGTATCATCCTTGTGCAACACTTAAAGTCAGCTAAGTGTGTTCGCAATACTATGTATACTTTTCTGCAGTAATATGTTTCTCTTATTATGTAGGCCATTACAGCTGAGGATGATGGCGTAAATCGCAGCAGCTCTGAACAAGTTGTAAATGGTACTCTTCCAATGATATTGAACTTCACCCTATCTTCTTTGTCAGCATACACATATTACAATGTCAGAGCAGTTGCTACATATGTCTTATCAAATGTAATACAATCAGTATGCTGGACATCCTAAGATGATCTGACTGAACGTAAGCTGAATTATATTTTAGATCTTGCTACACCTTTCATTTCTGTTTTTGGTGCTGCAGCTGGTGTACCTGACTCGATCCGGCAGAGTTGAAATTGAACATGGATAGCTTCTTGGATGCAGTTAATCCAAGAACTGATAATCCTAGAATCTCATACTTCTTGAAGTAATGGAGTTGATGATGAAGAAATTGCTGTGACTAAAGATGTGGGAAATACACGCAATGCAAATCTGAACGACTTCAATTTAGAAGTTGTCAAACTATAACGTTTGTGTCCTGCAATGAATAACATTGGGAACGCAAACCAAGCTGTGTTCTCTACCACATATGATGAGCCAACCCAGTTACGTACGGTAATAATGCACATGGCGAACCAAAGCAAGCTGACTCTAGTAGTCCAAACAAGCGCAGTTTTATGTGTTGGAATGTCCTCCAACTACCCATGCATTTGATATTCCTTGCGCTCAGATTCTGGGCCAGGTGTCTTTTCCAGTGGTGAATATCTGCAATTGGTCTGAGTTGGTGTTGTGTGTATACTGCTGCTACTTATTGCTAGTCTCATGGTATGATAATTTACATTCAGCAGTAGGCTAAACAGTCTAGGGTCACCGTCACTTGTGGGTACACTTTTTATCGGTATAGCCATAGTCATAAACAGCAATGGCTGGGACGCTTGCCCACTGTTGCTTACCGACTGATGCAGCTTGCCTGCCTCAGAGCGAGGAACTTACCCTACCTCTCCAGTGAGTTGTTATACGCACGATGTTGGCCTGTACTGGCTTGTTTGTTGTGCTATTGCCTTCCTACCTTGTAGTTTTCACATGCAAATACTCAGTTTGGAGTTGGTTTCTTTAGGTCCCTGGTCTGCTCCTACATACTGAGTGAGAGTATACTGTGCCATAGCACAGTTTTTTGAGGTTTTGTCTTTGTGTTGAAGATTTTAACCCCTACCAGCTGAGTTGCCGTGGTAGAGCCGCTTGCCTAGACTGCAGATGTTGTGGGTTCTAATCCCACCTATGATAGTAGCTCTTATTTTTTCCTTGGAAAAAAGAAATACTGGTGTTGTGCCTTGGCTTTCAACCTCGTAGTTTTTACATGCACACTCCTCATTGGCTCGTTATTGGTGGGTACTATGGCCTATTTTAGCGCGAAGCTTTCAGTGAGTATACCCTTTCGTTACTTAGAAATCTGACTGTAATAATTGAGATGGCTTAGAATCCACATGATGGTCGTTTTTTATTATAGTTTACTTGGTGTGCAGAAGAAAGAACAGGTCATTGACAAGGTCTGTTTTCACTCATGGCCCTGACTGGAACTAAAAAATATACATGCGTCAGTGTTCTCATCAACCACTACAGACAATAATGAAGCCTGTGGTAAGTTAGTATAAAATTGTGCTGTTTATCTTAGTACATCTGTACACGTAAGATAGGAATAGATTGGTGTACTAATACATTACGCCACAATGTCGTCTTTGGTTGTCAAATAACCCTGTTCTGCTCCTACCTATACTGAGTGAGAGTATACTGTTGAAGATTTTACAACCCCTACCAGCTTAGTTGCCCTGGTAACTCAGTAACTCGCCCAAACTGCAGAGGATGTGGGTTGGAATCCCTGGAAAAAGAGCTGTCCTGGATGACTTGTTTGATGTGCCTTTATTACCTCGTTGTTGACACATGCAGCCCTGAAGACTGTATATACTAGCATTGTGATTGATGGACTAGCTATAACCAATCCCATGCAGGCTCTAGCAAGAGGGCATACAGCTAAGAGAGTTTGCTTGCATATAACTGTATGGTCCTTACTCTCTCTATACCTAAGTGCTATTACCAAATAGCAGCTCAACACACATCGTGCATTGTATATAAAAAGGCCCCATGGCATGTTCAGGGATTTCCTCCACTTAGGAAAGAAACATCTGGTAACGCAATTTTCTTGGCCCTGAGCTCAGAGTTTTAAACTGTCAGCTAGATTTCATAATTCTATTTGTTTTCTTGTGCCGACAATGATGACAGTAAAATGCTAGCCGGAGCACATCTCAATATTTCTACTGTATGTCACATCTGCTCATCCTTCTTGTGTGAAAAGATCATACCTTAGAGAGAAAGGACCATGCTGAAGGATTGTATATCATCTCACGAAGGAGTTTAACCCGCAGCGCACATGCACAGCGATGGGTTACGGTACTGTTCGTCTGTATGTTTGTCTGTCTATTATCATCCGCATTCTTTCTGCCACCATGCGTCAACGAGACTCAAAAAGTGCTACAACTAGCTTGATTTTAAAATTGGCGATTTTCATACAAGTTACTGGCGTTTGAGAGTTACGGCGTGAAAGCCAAGTGAACAAGCCAATAATGTGAATAGCACAGGGTTTACCTTTACCAGATCCGGTGGCTCTGCATACCTTGGAGGCACCCACAAGTGCAATGCAGGCGAGTATCGACTCTCGTATGCTCTCTATTAGTGTAGCTAGCCAGTGTCGGACTGTCTCCAAGAGACCAAGATGACGCACAACAGCATAGCCAAGCCCATGAATTAGTGGTTGGGACCCACAAATGCGTATCATGGGTGTGTCAACACACACAAGTGCTATTGCGCCGAGTGTTTGCACTCCAGTGCTGTTATTATTAATATGAAAAAGCCCACCGCATTATCTGAATCTGAAACATTTTAACATTGTCCTCCTGATTACATAGCAAACCCACTTCAGAGCCGCCTTCAGCTACAGTACAGGAACTTAAGGAAGAACTCAGCAGAGAAACATGCTTTTTCCTAGCAGCCAGCTGCAGCTCACCAAAGTGTCTGTCAAGGTGGAGTATGCAGATAATCTAAAGCAGTTGTATTTTAGCGTTGGTAGACACTCTATATAGGGATGGCGTGGGTCAAATCAATCAGACACCTAAAAACTCAGCGAGAATGACTCCCTAGGGCTTCAAAACACACTAGCAATGGTCTGCGGGCCCTAATCTAGCTATACATGTTTCCAAGGACCTCATATGCACCTTCAGTCATCCAAGCGAGAATTCGCTCATACACTATTTTACGATAGTTTTTTTCATCATCGTTATTTATCTTCTTCTTCTTTAAACCCACTATCTCCTTAACGAACCATTTGAAAGTGCAGATTTTTTTTCACTGAACGTCTACAGATTCACCTTCAGCTACAGTACAGGAACTTAAGGAAGAACTCAGCAAAGAGAAACATGCTTTTTCCTAGCAGCCAGCTGCAGCTCACCAAAGTTGTCGGTCAAGGTGGAGTATGCAGATAATCTAAAGCAGTTGTATTTTAGCGTTGGTAGACGCTCTATATAAGGATGGCGTGGGTCAAATCAATCAGACACATAAAAACTCAGCAAGAATGACTCCCTAGGCGTCAAAACACACTAACAATGGTCTTGCGGGCCCTTATCTAGCTATACATGTTTCCAAGGACCTCATATCACTCAGTCATGCAAGTGAGAATTCGCTCATACGCTATTTACGATTTTTTGTCATCATCGTTATTCATCTTCTTCTTCTTTTCTTTAAACCGCTATCTCCTTACCGGAACCAGTTGAAAGTGCTGATTTTTTTTCACTGGACGTCTACAGATTCGTTGGAGGTGTGCACGGACACCAAGCGATCGTTTCTTTGTTGTCGCATGTCGCTACAGCAGACTGTAGAGCTCTTCCAGAGTGACACTGAATGACGCCATTTTCAGCTGTCAGCAGTTCAGGGCGTTTCCTGGCGATACGTGCGAGTACCTGTGTATGCTCAGCGTCGTGCGGCAGCCATAGTCTCCCGGAGCCCGCTCTCTTTCTTTGCGAGACTACTATTTGTTGTTAATTTTGCTTATGGATGAACTTGAGAGCTATGTATGCATTGCATGACGCAATGGGTGTCTAGCTGGCTACAATAATGTTGACCATCTGCGTTAGTTTGTCAGAGCTTTTCGTAAAAATAATGGAAACAAGGGCATTTCTTCAAAATGAAGGGAGATATAAGGGATGGCTCAAAACATGAAAAGGTATTGAACAAGGGGTTCTTTAACAGCTAAGACACACAAAGCTACATGGCACCATCCCTACATATTTGTTTTATTGTTTATAAGCAAAGTTTAATATCGAACAAAGATATAGGGATGGTGTCATGTAGCTTTGTGCAACTTTGCTGTGTAATGACCCCTTGTTTCTTCCTTTTTGGTGCTTCAAGCCATCCCTATATCCCCCTTTCATTTTGAAGAAATGATTTTTCCACTTGTAATATACAGTGTTTTGAGCCATCCCTATATCTCCCTTCATTTTGATTTTTCAACTTGATATTTATACATTCTATTTTTTAATACAGGAGAGTTCGGCTTGGTGTATCGTGGGTATATTAAAACAACCAACGAACTCGTTGCTGTCAAAACAGGAAAAGGTATACATTTTTAAAATTGTAATGGAAAGGGAGACAAGACAGGGATGGGATCTACAAACTATGGGTTTAACATAATACCCCTGAGCCCATCACAAGATCCCTACAAGTAAATAGTGTGGAATATAGGGATGCCATAAATAGGAAGGAGACAAGACAGGAATGACTTAGTGCATTCATCTTGAAACTGACATTTCTTGCTCATGTAAAGTTTCCTATCTTGAAACTGACATTTCTTGCTCATGTAAAGTTTCCTCCACCCAAACCTATATTGTCACTACTTTTACTTGCTACATGAGTGAATGACAGTGTGAGAACAATGGTGAAAGTATTCTGTATAGGACCAGCATTGTAAAACTGGTTATGAGTGAACATAAAGACTTCATTGCGGAACTCCGAACTGAGGTGCTGTTAGAGGAAGCAATACCTGTGCATGCTTAGTGATTGAGTCATAGCTGCTCATTATACGAGGAATGGTAAACTGGTGGCACACAATGCAGTCACAACTGCATTACCTGTCTCATGTGCTTAGGAAATGAGTCATAGCTGCACATCACACGAGGGAGTAGCTACGTTCATACTTTGTGACAATATAGGGCTTTGGTAGAGTAAAATTTACACGAGGGAGCAATGCCAGTTTGAAGATGTAACCATTAAGTACTAATGCACTAGGTCATCATTGTCTTGTCTCCTGGGCATCCCTATATTCCAAACTTTTTTGTTAGAAGTATATTTACATGTCTCCTTTCATTTTTGGGCTTGGGAAAGACATATCCAATGCATACGACTTCAGCGTGAGGACCTATTGCTCCCGGGGAGGTAGGCCTAGGCTAAAGAGAAGCTGTGCAGACCATGGAGATATTTTCTCAGCGCTGCTCGTAGTGTAGCTCGTGGTTTGCTGTGGCAGCCCGGCTGGAGCAACCAAGAGCTTGCTAATCTCGGCGAGTGTATATAGCGTTCCCGTGGCATTTTCGCGGGTAGCGTTGGTCGTGGCACTGGCTTCGCTTCAAGCTCTGTGTGTGACTCGCTCGCTGCGCTACGTGTACTGGGGCACCATGGTGTACAGAACTTCAAACCCGTCGAGGAACTAGTTGCCACAATTAATAATGATATTCATGCGTGACCGCAGGGTGTATTAGCAATGAATAATGTTAACATTCCACACAGCAGGGTGTGAGCCTTGTCATCACCTTTGATTTGAGTGCCTACTGGGCTACAAGTGATAGTTAAAGTTCTGGTGCGAGTACTCTATGGAAATTATTGGACACAGGCGAAGTTCGAGAAAGTCATGTAGCACGAACGTGCAGCGCAAGTGTTACATGAGCTTCGAGAACTTTCCCCAAGCCAAATAATAATCCGTAGAGTACCAGCAAAGACGGTACTTTAACTGGTTTGTAGTCCATTGTCATTTTTCTATATAACTGTTATCTATTTTCCCTAAGTGTGTGGTCCACCCCACCTAACCACACGTTATCACAACTGATAACTGCAACTACACTATCTACCAGATTTGAAGTTTTTCGTTTGATGTTGTAAGGCTTTAGACTACAACAAGTATTATTACACCATGCCATATTTACTCAGTACTACCATACTTATAATCATGGCTAACCCATAACAATATATTTACAGCTCTACTTGAAGAAAATCACAAAAAAGGACTACTGAAAGAAGTCTCGCTAATGCTAAACTTTAGCCACCCAAATGTGATGAGACTCATTGGACTGTCATTTGAGGGAGAGGTGCCTCTGATCATTATGCCATTCATGAGAAAGGGCAATGTTCTACAGCATGTAAGAGAGAACAGACAGAGGCTCTATTTCACAGAGAACAGTAATCAAAATGAGGTATTACGGCAGCTTCATACTGCTCTAACTGCATTGTTTCCGGTTTCTCTGTAATAGGTTGAAGCTGCTAGGAAGACCAGTCTTGAGATGTGCTACCAGATATCAAAGGGAATGTCATATCTTGCGAAGTTCAAGTTTGTTCATCGCGACCTTGCTGCCAGGAACTGCATGTAAAGCAATGGTTGATGGCCCTAGTCCTATGGCTGCATGCAAATGCAATGTAGCAAAAACAAAATGGGAATGTAGCCAGTAATGAAACTAAGCTAGCCAAACACTCAAACAAGGAGATAGGGTCTGGTAGTAGATTTGCCACTTCAATATATCTTCATGATAACCTAAAGTGAGCTGAGTGAGTGTGATCAGGAATCGCGCATATATATATATACACCCACACATCCTGTATATAGTATACACACACAGCATGCGTGTGCCTGCCAATCGCATAGAGCTTCTGTATAGAATGTCGCTCCACCGGTGCATGAAAAACTGACACAACTCTACCGTAGCTACTTGGGTGGGTGTCTGGCTAGCGAGACAAAAGCCCATGAAGTTACAACTATCATAATACAAAAGTGAGACATGCACACTACTTTATTACAGGATTGATGAAAATGGTAGAATAAAGGTGTCAGATTTTGGACTGACAGAGGACATCTACAGATCCAACTACTACCGTCCAGATAGTGAGACTGTGACAGAGGAGAAGGTTCCCATTAAGTGGATGGCTCCAGAGAGCATTGAAAGTCATGTGTTTAATGAGAGCACTGATGTAGTGAGTTATAAACCATGAATGTTGCCTTTATTAACAGCCTAAAAGACATTGTATTGGAGCCCATTAGTCATTCATAAGTAACATCATTGCGCAATAATTATTATCATGTGCTTGTCGACTGAAGAACTTGGAAGAACATACTATCGGTCAAGCTAGGTATTGTTGTTGCCTTAGTTTGACTGAACTGAAAGTTTAGTGCAGTGGTCAGCTAGTGTTTACCTATGATGTAGCTAGTCAAAATTGGCTGATTTCCACCTCAGTTATAGGCACTAAAGTGCAAACCCTCAGTGAACTGTGCGTGCACGGTATATACCGGACTGTGCTTTTGGTATGCGTTTACTCGTGGTCGCTAATTGATGGGTTGGGCGATTAAAGTATGCGTTAACTCGTGGTCTCCCACTAGTAGCTCGCGGAGAGTCTGACGCGGGCTAGCTACAGTAGTAGATAGCATGCGGAAGTCAATTCACGCCCTTCGTTGTGACTTCTTGTGCCTTCAAGATGCACAGAGCAAGCGGACTCGGTCGAGGTAAGCCTGTGCTAATTTCATATTGGCTTGTTCACTTGCTTTTCACGCCATAACTTTTGAACGCAGTAGTTATAAGATAATCACCATTTTGAAAATGAAACCAGTGTAGCGATTAACCCGTTGGTATCGCTATTTTGTTGTCTCATTGCGGATAGTCGCAGAAAACTTGGTACCAGACAGAGACGGACATGCACACTTACAAACCAAGTACCGTAACCCTCGCTGCACATGTGCCCCGAGAGTTAACTAGCTACATACTGGCATTGCATGGGTATATAGGCCCGCTACAGTACAAATGAAGACTCACAACTTTCAACTGGCCTGATCACAACCAACCATGCATAAACTTTAGCCTGTGTCACCCTAAAATTTTAGTCCCAGTCCTAAAGGTGTATACTGGCTGCAATTCATGCAATGCTGCCTTTCTGGCCCAGAAATATAACTATGGTGCTTGCAAACTACACTTGTGTAGCACCTTTGAGGGGCGGATCCAGAAAATGATAAGGGGACACACACTGTTGTTTTTCAGCAAATAGAAGTGTGCAAAGCGCGCAATCTATGGGGGTCTGGGACATGCTCTCCCGGGAAAATTTTGAAATTACCCCTTCTGAGATGGATACTATGGGCATAAAACAGGCTAGCACAATAGCCTATAGATTGATGCATTTTCAAGGTGTGGTGTGGTTTTTCTGAGTTGGGTATTATTACAAAGCAAAAAAAGGTGAACACATACTATTCAGAGTGATACACGTGCATACTTTAATGATACATGTACTTCAATCAGCGGCCAAAGGGTTCTGAAGAAGCCATTCTCCAGGGACGCTTGGAAACAATAGCGGTGATAATGGCAACTTCATTCTTCACGTACTTTAATGCAGAGTTGCCTCTCTCTATAATTATAGAGTAGCAGCTGTTGGAACCACCAACAGCAGTTGTAGCGCTGTAAAAATGTTGAGGTAGGATTTGCTATTTACTTGTTCCAGAATGTCACTAAGGCCATGAGGCACAGGTGTCGAACAGTTCCATCGCTGCTTCCACAGCTTGACTTCCTGCTTAAAGGCTTCTGGTGCAAGCAAGTCTTCATTGAAGTGCTCATGTATATAGTTCTACTACCTTTTCTTCCGTGAGGCTAGTCAGGTTTGGAGGCAAAAGCAGAAGCCCTTGGATGGCTTTCTTGTTGAATCTTGTTGACAGTACTGATAGAGGGTGATCAACTAAGGGTACAAAAACTGCACGCCTCCATTATGCTTGAGGGGTGTCTGCTTCAACATTGGAGCAATAATTATGTTTGCCAATTACATCTTGCTCTCTCGGATATGACACAGACCAGACTACCATATAACTCAGGGCTAGCTCTAATCGCATCTCCATCAGGATTCTGGATAAGGAAAGCACCAGCATACTGGATCAGAGCTCTCTACGTTCCGGGCTTAGCGATCTCATATGTGGTGAGACTGCATCGACTATAATTATTCTCGTCGAGAGCAAGATACTCTACTATTAGTCATGATAGCAGCGAGTATCGCACCAAGTATATGAGAAGAGAGAGATATGGTGTAAGGGCAGAATGGACCCCACCGGAGAGGGAGTTGTTCGTGTATGTGTGGCTTTAGCTGCAAGGAGTTATAACCTCTAGTATACGATTGCCGCGCCGAGAAATACGACACGAGAACGTCACACTCGCGCCACTCTTCACCATCACGTAGGTAGTCGTGCGCGGGGCGATCATGTTGAGAGAGGATAGAGCGTCAACTTAGGCTCCATCAACGCCATAATGGATGCGATGAGCAGTTTGTGTCTATTACGGTTAATCAGGTATGTACTCCACACTGAGTCTACAAGATTCAACAAGAAAGCATCAAGGGCTTCTGCTTTGCCTCCAACTGACCTAGCTCACACGGAAGCCCCAGTGACATGTAACTATAGTAATGTAGCACGGTGAGAGTATGGCTCTCGACCACGAACGATCACTCTCTAAGCGAGCTAAAGCATGGAAGCACGATGGAACTCTGTAAGGCCAGTACCACTCATCTCTTAGTGGCTACGGAGTTCATGGTTACTGCATAATGAGTGATATGCAAGGCACGCATGATCGAAGGACGTATCAAAGCGAGTGGCTCACACGCGCTGAGCACTGTCACAGAGAGAGCGCTCGCCATCGAACTACACACTAATTATAGAGAAGAGGCAACTCTGCATTAAAGTACGTGAAAGAATGAAGTTGCATTATCACCGGCTATTGTTTCCAAGCGTCCCTGGAGAATGGCTTCTTTTCCCAGAAAACCCTTTGGGCCCCCGCTTTGGGAAAGTTTTGGGGAAAAAAAAGTTTAAAACATGTTTTATATTAAAGATGCACGTGTTCACCTCTGAATAGTAATGTGTTCACCTTTTTTTCTTTGTAATAATACCCCTGGATCTGTCTAGAGACAGGATATACTGTGTAAGCTGAGCCACTGACACGACTATAATGCATCAATCTATAGAAGATGATTTGCGTCAGCATAGATATTATATATTGCGCCATAAGAACGAATTCGCGTTCTATACACGAGCCATGTTGAGTAGATCATTGTAACTATAGAGGTGGAGGAGAGCAAATCCTATACAAGAGAGCGATACGGAATTATGCGACTACGTTGTGATGCAACAGACGTTTATATTAAAACAAGCAGTGTGTCCCCCCCCTAGCACAGCCCCCTTATCATTTTCACAATGGATCCGCCAGTTATTATATGCGGAACTCTATATGCCCACTAGAGATCGTGAGCTGAAGTTGCTAAGACACCATAGTTATATTATTTGTATATATGGCAGCTGCATGAATTGCAGCCAGTATACACCTTTAGGACTGGGGACTAAATTTTAGGGTGACACAGGCTAAAGTTTATGCATGGTTGGTTGTGATCAGGCAGTTGAAAGTTTTGGAGTCTTCATTTGTACTGTTAGCGGGCCTATATACCCAGCAATGCCAGTATGTAGCTAGTTTAATCTCTGGGCACATGTGGCAGCGAGGTTTACGGTATTGGTTTTTAAGTGTGCTGTAGGACAAGTTTTTCTGCGACATCCGAATGAGACAACAAAATTAGCGATACCAACGGGTTTAATCGCTACACTTGGTTTCATTTTCCAAAATGGTGCATCGTATCTCTCATAACTACTGCGTCAAGTTATGGCGTGGCAAAGCAGACGTGAACAAGCAATATGAAAAATTAGCACAGGCTTACCTCGACCGAGTCCGCTTGCTCCTGGCATCTTGAAGCACACGACAGTCACAACGTAAGTGGCGTGAATTGACTTCCGCGTGCTCTCTAATACTAGCTGTAGCTAGCCGCGTACAGACTCTCAGACGACCGACAGCTAGCTTACGAGTGGCAGAGACCACGAGCAGTGAACGCATACTTGAAGAGCGCACCCAAACACCATCAATTGAGCGACACGAAGTAAACGCATGACCAAAAGCACAGTCGGTATATACCGTGGCACGCACAGTCACTGGGGGTTTGCCACTGTAGTGCGATACTGAGGTGGAAGGAAACAGCAATTTATGACTGGCTACATCATAGGTAAACACTAGCTGACCACTGCACTAAACTTTCAGCTTCAGCTCAAACTAAGGCAACAACATACCTAGGCCTTGACCGATAGTAGTGTTCGTCCAAGTCTTCAGTCGACAGGCAATGATATATATTAATGTGCGCAATGATTTACTTATGACATGACTAATGGCTCATATACAATGTCTTGTCGCTGTGATAAAGCAACATTCAGGTTTAAGTAACTCACATACAGCAGTGCTCTCATTAACACATGACTTTCACTGCTCTCTGGGAGCCATCCACTTAATGGAACCTTCTCCTCTGTCACAGTCTCACTATCTGGACGGTAGTAGTTGGATTCTGTAGATGTCTCTGTCAGTCCAAAATTGAAACCTTTATTTCTACCATTTTCATGCAATCCTTAATAAATTAGTGTGCATGTTCTCACTTTTGTATTATGATAGTTTAACTTTAATGGCTTTTGTCTCGCTAGTGTCAGACACCCACCCAGTTTGCTACGGTAGAGGTTGTGTCAGTTTTTCATGCACCGGTGGAGCGACTTCTATTACAAAGCTCTTGCGATTGGCAGGCAACGCATGCTGTGTGTGTATACTATATACAGGATGTGTTGGGTGTTATATATATTATGCGCGATTTCCTTGATCACACTCACTCAGCTCATTTAGTTATCATGAGATGATATTGAAGTGGCAAATCTATACCAGAACCTTGATCTCGTTGTTTTGATGTGGTTTGGCTAGGCTTAGTTTCATTACTGGCTACATTTCCCATTTTTGTTTTTGCTTCATTGTATTTGCATGCAGCCATAGACTGAGGGCATCAACCATTGCTTTACATGCAGTTTCTTGGAGTATGCCAAGGCCGATGGGTGGGGGGGGTTTTGAGTCAGATGAGATTTTCGCGGTAAGACATTCCATCTGTTGGCACATGATGCGGAGACGTCTTGCTTAGCCTCAATCTATTACGGAGAGACGGGAAACAGAGTGTGGCATGGCGATATGAGAGCTGAGGTGATAGCTCGAGTGATTTAGTGTTTCGTCGTGTAATTGAGAATCTGTCTGTTGTCTCTGTATTCGGTTGGCATCGTTGTCTCTTGTCTTCATGTGTAATTGTTCTTAATGATCCAGAGGCCATGCTTCGCCTAATAATGGACAGTCTCAATGAGTCTATCACATTTGGGGGTGGCTGAGGTTATGAGTTTGAGCATTAGCGAGACTGTCGTTCAGGTAGTCTGTTTTGTGATGGTTTTCTCAAGTAGAGCTTGGTTAAATATTATTGTTATGGGTTAGCATGATTATAAGTATGAGTGACTGAGTAGAATGGGCATTGGGGTGTAGATAATACTTGTTGATAGTCGTGTTGTAAAGCCTTACAAATAAGACTGAATAGGGCTTCGAAATCTTGGTATGATAGTGTAGTTGCAGTTATTCAGTTGTGATATACGTGCGTGGGGTGGGCGTAGGTGGGGTGGACCAATATAACACTTAGGGAAAATAGATACAGTTATATAGAAAAATAATGAGCGAATGGAACTACAAACCGAGTTAAAGTACCGTCTTGCTGGTACTCTACGGATTATTATTTGGCTTGGGGAAAGTTCTCGAAGCTCATGTAACACTGCGCTGCACGTTTGTGCTACATGACTTTCTCGAACTTCACCTGTGTCCAATAATTTCCATAGAGTACTCGCACCAGAACTTTAACTATCACTTGTAGCCCAGTAGGCACTCAAATCAAAGGTGATGACAAGGCTCACACCCTGCTGTGTGGAATGTTAACATTATTCATTGCTAATACACCCTGCGGTCACGCATGAATATCATTATTAATTGTGGCAACTAGTTCCTCGACGGGTTTGAAGTTCTGTACACCATGGTGCCCCAGTACACGTAGCGCAGCGAGCGAGTCACACACAGAGCTTGAAGCGAAGCCAGTGCCACGACCAACGCTACCCGCGAAAATGCCACGGGAACGCTATATACACTCGCCGAGATTAGCAAGCTCTTGGTTGCTCCAGCCGGGCTGCCACAGCAAACCACGAGCTACACTACGAGCAGCGCTGAGAAAATATCTCCATGGTCTGCACAGCTTCTCTTTAGCCTAGGCCTACCTCCCCGGGAGCAATAGGTCCTCACGCTGAAGTCGTATGCATTGGATATGTCTTTCCCAAGCCCAAAAATGAAAGGAGACATGTAAATATACTTCTAACAAAAAAGTTTGGAATATAGGGATGCCCAGGAGACAAGACAATGATGACCTAGTGCATTAGTACTTAATGGTTACATCTTCAAACTGGCATTGCTCCCTCGTGTAAATTTTACTCTACCAAAGCCCTATATTGTCACAAAGTATGAACGTAGCTACTCCCTCGTGTGATGTGCAGCTATGACTCATTTCCTAAGCACATGAGACAGGTAATGCAGTTGTGACTGCATTGTGTGCCACCAGTTTACCATTCCTCGTATAATGAGCAGCTATGACTCAATCACTAAGCATGCACAGGTATTGCTTCCTCTAACAGCACCTCAGTTCGGAGTTCCGCAATGAAGTCTTTATGTTCACTCATAACCAGTTTTACAATGCTGGTCCTATACAGAATACTTTCACCATTGTTCTCACACTGTCATTCACTCATGTAGCAAGTAAAAGTAGTGACAATATAGGTTTGGGTGGAGGAAACTTTACATGAGCAAGAAATGTCAGTTTCAAGATAGGAAACTTTACATGAGCAAGAAATGTCAGTTTCAAGATGCATGCACTAAGTCATCCCTGTCTTGTCTCCTTCCTATTTATGGCATCCCTATATTCCACACTATTTACTTGTAGGGATCTTGTGATGGGCTCAGGGGTATTATGTTAAACCCATAGTTTGTAGATCCCATCCCTGTCTTGTCTCCCTTTCCATTACAATTTAAAAAATGTATACCTTTTCCTGTTTTGACAGCAACGAGTTCGTTGGTTGTTTTAATATACCCACGATACACCAAGCCGAACTCTCCTGTATTAAAAAATAGAATGTATAAATATCAAGTTGAAAAATCAAAATGAAGGGGAGATATAGGGATGGCTCAAAACACTGTATATTACAAGTGGAAAAATCATTTCTTCAAAATGAAAGGGGGATATAGGGATGGCTTGAAGCACCAAAAAGGAAGAAACAAGGGGTCATTACACAGCAAAGTTGCACAAAGCTACATGACACCATCCCTATATCTTTGTTCGATATTAAACTTTGCTTATAAACAATAAAACAAATATGTAGGGATGGTGCCATGTAGCTTTGTGTGTCTTAGCTGTTAAAGAACCCCTTGTTCAATACCTTTTCATGTTTTGAGCCATCCCTTATATCTCCCTTCATTTTGAAGAAATGCCCTTGTTTCCATTATTTTTACGAAAAGCTCTGACAAACTAACGCAGATGGTCAACATTATTGTAGCCAGCTAGACACCCATTGCGTCATGCAATGCATACATAGCTCTCAAGTTCATCCATAAGCAAAATTAACAACAAATAATAGTCTCGCAAAGAAAGAGAGCGGGCTCCGGGAGACTATGGCTGCCGCACGACGCTGAGCATACACGGGTACTCGCACGTATCGCCAGGAAACGCCCTGAACTGCTGACAACTGAAAATGGCGTCATTCAGTATCACTCTGGAAGAGCTCTACAGTCTGCTGTAGCGACATGCGACAACAAAGAAACGATCGCTTGGTGTCCGTGCACACCTCCAACGAATCTGTAGACGTCCAGTGAAAAAAAATCAGCACTTTCAACTGGTTCCGGTAAGGAGATAGCGGGTTTAAAGAAGAAGAAGATGAATAACGATGATGACAAAAAATCGTAAAATAGCGTATGAGCGAATTCTCACTTGCATGACTGAAGGTGCATATGAGGTCCTTGGAAACATGTATAGCTAGATAAGGGCCCGCAGACCATTGTTAGTGTGTTTTGAAGCCCTAGGGAGTCATTCTTGCTGAGTTTTTATGTGTCTGATTGATTTGACCCACGCCATCCCTATATAGAGCGTCTACCAACGCTAAAATACAACTGCTTTAGATTATCTGCATACTCCACCTTGACCGACAACTTTGGTGAGCTGCAGCTGGCTGCTAGGAAAAAGCATGTTTCTCTTGCTGAGTTCTTCCTTAAGTTCCTGTACTGTAGCTGAAGGTGAATCTGTAGACGTTCAGTGAAAAAAAATCTGCACTTTCAACTGGTTCCGTTAAGGAGATAGTGGGTTTAAAGAAGAAGAAGATAAATAACGATGATGAAAAAAACTCGTAAAATAGTGTATGAGCGAATTCTCGCTTGGATGACTGAAGGTGCATATGAGGTCCTTGGAAACATGTATAGCTAGATTAGGGCCCGCAGACCATTGCTAGTGTGTTTTGAAGCCCTAGGGAGTCATTCTCGCTGAGTTTTTAGGTGTCTGATTGATTTGACCCACGCCATCCCTATATAGAGTGTCTACCAACGCTAAAATACAACTGCTTTAGATTATCTGCATACTCCACCTTGACAGACAACTTTGGTGAGCTGCAGCTGGCTGCTAGGAAAAAGCATGTTTCTCTTGCTGAGTTCTTCCTTAAGTTCCTGTACTGTAGCTGAAGGCGGCTCTGAAGTGGGTTTGCTATGTAATCAGGAGGACAATGTTAAAATGTTTCAGATTCAGATAATGCGGTGGGCTTTTTCATATTAATAATAACAGCACTGGAGTGCAAACACTCGGCGCAATAGCACTTGTGTGTGTTGACACACCCATGATACGCATTTGTGGGTCCCAACCACTAATTCATGGGCTTGGCTATGCTGTTGTGCGTCATCTTGGTCTCTTGGAGACAGTCCGACACTGGCTAGCTACACTAATAGAGAGCATACGAGAGTCGATACTCGCCCTGCATTGCAACTTGTGGTGCCTCCAAGGTATGCAGAGCCACCGGATCTGGTAAAGGTAACCCTGTGCTAATTCACATTATTGGCTTGTTCACTTGGCTTTCACGCCGTAACTCTCAAACGCAGTAACTTGTATGAAAATCGCCAATTTTAAAATCAAGCTAGTGTAGCACTTTTGTAGTCTCGTTGCGCATGGTGGCAGAAAATGCGATAATAGACAGACAAACATACAGACGAACCAAGTACCGTAACCCTCGCTGTGCATGTGCGCTGCGGGTTAACTCCTTTCGTGAATGATATACAATCCTTCAGCATGGTCCTTTCTCTCTAAGGTATGATCCTTTTCACACAAGAAGGATGAGCAGATGTGACATACAGTAGAAATATTGAGAATGTGCTCCGGCTAGCATTTTTACTGTCATCATTTGTCGGCACAAGAAAACAAATAGAATTACTGAAATCTAGCTGACAGTTTAAACTCTGAGCTCAGGGCCAAGAAAATTGCGTTACCAGATGTTTCTTTCCTAAGTGGAGGAATCCCTGAAAATGCCATGGGGCCTTTTTATATACAATGCACGATGTGTGTTGAGCTGCTATTTGGTAATAGCACTTAGGTATAGAGAGAGTAAGACCATACAGTTATATTGCAAGCAAACTCTCTTAGCTGTATGCCCTCTTGCTAGAGCCTGCATGGGATTGGTTATAGCTAGTCCATCAATCACAATGCTAGTATATACAGTCTTCAGGGCTGCATGTGTCAACAACGAGGTATAAAGGCACATCAAACAAGTCATCCAGGACAGCTCTTTTTTCCAGGGATTCCAACCCACATCACTCTGCAGTTTGGGCGAGTACTGAGTTACCAGGGCAACTAAGCTGGTAGGGGTTAAAATCTTCAACAGTATACTCTCACTCAGTATATGTAGGAGCAGAACAGGGTTATTTGACAACCAAAGACGCATGTGGTCGTAATGTATTAGTACACCAATCTATTCCTATCTTACGTGTACAGAGGTACTAAGATAAACAGCACAATTTTATACTAACTTACCACAGGCTTTCATTATTGTCTGTAGTGGTTTGATGAGAACACTGCGCATGTATATTTTTTAGTTCCAAGTCAGGGCCATGAGTGAAAACAGACCTTGTCAATGACCTGTTCTTTCTTCTGCACACCAAGTAAACTATAATAAAAAACGACCATCATGTGGATTCTAAGCCATCTCAATTATTACAGTCAGATTTCTAAGTAACGAAAGGGTATACTCACTGAAAGCTTTCGCGCTAAAATTAGGCCATAGTACCCACCAATAACGAGCCAATGGAGTGTGCATGTAAAAACTACGAGGTTGAAAGGCCAAGGCACAACACCAGTATTTTTCTTTTTTCCAAGGAAAAAATAAGAGCTACTATCCTAGGTGGGATTAGAACCCACAACACTCTGCAGTCTAGGCAAGCGCTCTACCACGGCAACTCAGCTGGTAGGGGTTAAAATCTTCAACACAAAGACAAACCTCAAAAACTGTGCTATGGCACAGTATACTCTCACTCAGTATGTAGGAGCAGACCAGGGCACCTAAAGAAACCAACTCCAAACTGAGTATTTGCATGTGAAAACTACAAGGTAGGAAGGCAATAGCACAACAAACAAGCCAGTACAGGCCACATCGTGCGTTATAACAACTCACTGGAGGTAGGGTAAGTTCCTCGCTCTGAGGCAGGCAAGCTGCATCAGTCGGTAAGCAACAGTGGGCAAGCGTTCCCAGCCATTGCTGTTTTATGACTATGGCTATACCCGATAAAAAGTGTACCCACAAGTGACGGTGACCCTAGACTGTTTAGCCTACTGCTGACATGTAAATTATCATACCAATGAGACTAGCAATAAGTAGCAGCAGTATACACACAACACCAACTCCAGACCCAATTGCAGCATATTCACCACTGGAAAAGACACCTGGCCCAGAATCTGAGCGCAAAGGAATATCAAAATGCATGGGTAGTTGGAGGACATTCCAACACATAAAACTGCGCTGTTTGGACTACTAGGTCAGCTTGCTTTGGTTCGCCAATTGTGCATTATTACCTGTACGTACCTGGGGTTGGCATCATCATATGTGTGTAGAGAACACAGCTTGGTTTGCCGTTCCCAATGTTATTCATTGCAAGGACACAAACGTTATAGTTTTGACCAACTTCTAAATTGAAGTCGTTCAGATTTGCATTGCGTGTATTTCCCACATCTTTAGTCACAGCAATTTCTTCATCATCAACTCCAATTACTTCAAGAATGTATGAGATTCTAGGATTATCAGTTCTTGGATTAACTGCATCCCAAGAAGCTATTCCATTGTTTTCAATTTTCAACTCTGCCGGAGAGTCAGGTACACCAGCTGCAGCACCAAAAACAGAAATGAAAGTGTAGCAAGATCTAAAATATAATTCAGCTTACGTTCAGTCCAGATCATCTTAGGATGTCCAGCATACTGATTTGTATTACATTTGGATAAGACATATGTAGCAACTGCTCTGACATTGTAATATGTGTATGCTGACAAAGAAGATAGGGTGAAGTTCAATATCATCGGAAGAGTACCATTTACAACTTGTTCAGAGCTGCTGCGATTTACGCCATCATCCTCAGCTGTAATGGCCTACATAATAAGATAAACATATTACTGCAGGAAAGTATACATAGTATTGCGAACATACTTAGCTGACTTTAAGTGTTGCACAAGGATGATACAATAACGCTCAATGTTGTGTAGTGCACTACCTGCAGCATTATTGCATCATCCGATTGCACTACATGTCAACAAAGTGTGTTCTAAATGCCTGGTCACATGGCTTTTTGGTGCTTTTCCTGCCAGTTCTTTGAGTAAAAGGCCTCGTTTGGAAAGGCTCATTTTGCTTTAGTATGTTCAAGAGTAATTGGCAGGCAAAGCGATTTACGCTATCACCCTCAGCCGTGATTGCCTGTATATTACAGAAAAGGTGATAAGGTGCACAGATGTGAAACCAGGTATATTCAAACTTCTTTGGAAATATGAAACATTACTCTACTACTGCAAATTCCCCTGAATAATGCTTGGCTACTTTCGGACTCTCTGGAACCTAGAATGAGGTACGTATGAATGTGTTTTTAGGGATAAAAATGACACTGAATACTGCATGATCTTGGGTTTGTGTACGATACATAATTATGGTAGAGCAGCTACAACGGATGTTCATACTACCTACGTACTACAGTAACAGCTGATGCCTGAAGAAGGCAGTATTCTAGTGTGCTCTTCCAACATTAATGTAGCAATTCAGTAAAAGAAGGGACACATTGGCAGAGTCTTTTTGTCCCTCTAGAGAGGTTGCCTTCTTGGAGAGGTTCTCACTAAACTCTTTCACAATACCCAGTAACAACTTCTGTCAGTTTCTTTACAGGGGCCATGTCCAATTTTTATCCTGTGCATACCGTATGATTGCTAAGAATCTGCTGGTGTTGTATCGCACTTGTTTTCTGTCATACAAAATGCATGGTTCAATGTGAAAACAAGGCTTGAAAAATACCAAAGAGAATTATAGCCATGCAGTTGTAAAAGCCAACTATGTTGCTATACTTTACCTACATGCTACAATGTACGTACATCGAATAACCTGCAATATCCAAAGTTCAATTCTTAAGTACATAAGCTTGTTCGTGTTAGAATCGCAGCAGCTAGCGAGGAACAAGCTAGCGGTGTGGTATTGACCCACACGTGACTTACATGGTTTACGTGGGTTCGAATCCCACCCAGGGCAGCTCTTCTTTTTTCCTTGAAAAGAAAGAGCTTTCCTGGGTTTAGCTGACTTGTTTTCTTTGCCTTGCCTCTCTACTTCGTTACCTCGTCGTTGACACATCCGTGCATTCACAACAGGAAAAACACTACTAAGTTGGGGCATTTATTCCTTAAGTTCCTATGCATGCATATTATACCTGAATGAAAACTGAAGATATGTTGACATGTACATCTTCCAATTCAAGTGTAAGAGTCATTGATGTGTTGTACGCTGCACATATTCTGGGGAAGAGCTCTTGGCCATGACGAGGCATTCACTGCTATAATACTGCTGTTTAAAACTCCATTGGATACCTTCACTGTTGCGAAAACCACAAATATCTCACTTCGACATTTATCAACTACAAGTACCCTCATCATGTATTCCACGTCAGGAGTAGATCATTCAATGATAAAGACATATTAGTTCCAACATCTTACAGATACATCAAATGAGCCTCCTCTAATAAGTAAGGAAGTAGCTTTATATTGGCCAATTGATCCACTGAGATGTCTGGCCCCACTCAAAACACACTCAATACATGTTACCTACCCAGACCCCAACAGCACTAGTGGGCACTGGATCAGTCATCTGAACAGAGAAATATGATTTGAAATAATATTGAGCAACTAAAGGAAACAAACCCACGAACCTCCTTCGTCTGTACCTTATTCCATTCGGTATAAATCATAAGCTCGCGAGTCCAGCCACAGTGTAATATGTGTGCACTACTCAAGGAAATCCGATACGCGCGAGAGAAAGGTTGGATGGTTTTTTATCATATCTTCAAATGGTCTTGAAAGGATCCTGAATAAACGAATAGAACAATACATCAAGCTTATACAAAAGCTCATGTGTCCCTCTCCAACTATATCTGGTGTGACTGTTGATTACTGCGGTATGAGAATATTACTGATGGTGTCATAGGAATGTAGGGCAGCGGAAAAATGCATAAATTGAAGCTGCATCACATAATATGGCATTGTGCAGTGTGAAAATGGCAAATGGCTACACACCAAGACAGTGAAAACAGATATAGACAGAGAGAAAAAACGGTTTAACTTCTCCATGGTGACTACAGGGTACAAAATCAGATTTTAGGGGTGTATATAAATACATAGGTCAGGTAGAGTGATAGGATGCTTCACTCCCTAACAATTAATATACATTTGGGGACATGCTTTGAGGAAAGCTGGAAAAATGAAAAGCACTAAAGTGCAACACCTCGCGAAATACAACTGGCGCATCGTGCGATACCGCTAATTGATGGCTGGGCCTATTAGTTAGTGTGTTTTACTCATGATCTCCTGCTAGTAGCTCGCGGAGAGCTGATCTGATCACAGGAGCTCGCTACAGTCGTAGATAGCATGCGGAAGTCGATACAGCGCCCTTCATTGTGGCTCTCTGTGCCTCCAGGTCACACAGAGCAAGCGATGTGAGGTCGAGCGTAAGCCAGTGCTAATTAGCATTGGCTTGTTCACTTTGGTTTTACGCCATAACTTCTGAACGCAGCACTTACGAAAATCGCCTAATTGAAAATAAAGGCAGTGCAGTGCTGAACCCGCTGGTGTTGCTATTTTACCTGTTTGTTGCGCGTGGTGGCAGAAATCGTGGTAAAAGACGGACAGACTGACAGATTGCACATGCGCACGCCGAGGGTTAATGAGATAATCTGCATACATGTCTCACAGGAGCTTATGAGCCGCCCTAAGGGCGGAAGTTGCGTCCAACTGCGCAGAACAGCATTTGAATCTGCAGCACAAAGAACACTTTCTTAAATGAGCTGCCTCAAGTGGGAATTTCTGTGTGGTCGCAGTGTGCGCACATACATAGTCGTACACTCATGCAATGCTTGGGACAATTTCCCACAATAAGGCAGTTCCATAAAAGGAAAATCTTGTTAGCGTTTAGATTCAAATGCCATTCTGGGCTATAGCACAGAGTTAGATGTTCCTTCTGCCGTTCGGGTGGCTCATAAGCTCCTGATGTCACTTCTTCAATACAACGAATTGGGGAATATGGATGGTATAAAAAGCAATGAGACAAGACAGGGACGACCAGAAGACATGCAGTAGCACATTAGATGAGGGTCTATCACAGAAGCATAACTTTCTTTAAATATTCTGCATGTCCTGTTGATGTATATTTAGCTGACATGCCCGAAAATGGAACAGGATATGCAGGAATATTTTTGCTTCTAACAAATA